TTTTTTTTTAAAGCTACCTACTTTAGATCTTTTCAGCAACCAGATGTTTTTACAAGATTGTGACAGTTATTTACAATTAGAAGACAGAGTCTGCCAGCAAGACAAATTAAAATCTTGGCTTAAAAATTTTAGAAAGATTTCCTTTGTCTCTTTCCCACACAGCTGTAGTTTGCCACGCACTGCTATACTGATCCTAAAACCACACAAATTCTTTTAAAAATTAGTTATCTCTAATTTAAAACCGTTTTTGGCTTTTATGCACGCTTTCAAGCTCTAGTTTCTTAGAGATCAACACTTGTAAAGAACAAGGTTTTTTTAATCTGCTTCCCTTCCAGACATTTAGTTGTGGCTGGTTGGCCGAAACTGTTGTAGACAGTCTGCGAATAAAAGCTTTGAGAAAACTTCTTTACCACAACGCCACATATTTTGATGATCCATCTCGAAGCCCTGCAGTGACAGTTACTCGGCTAACAGTTGATGCGCCAAATATAAAACCTGTATGTTTCAAGAACACTTTGTTTGTGGTTACTTAGTACATTACAGCATTAGACTTTGCTAATGCTAGGTAACCCCAAAAAAGCTTTTCTCTGAGAGAAATATCAGTTTTTTAGGCTTTGGATCATCGTCTGATGCAAATCATAAACAATGGGTCAGGCTTAATTGTTTTGATTGTCACAGGAATTGCTTTTTCATGGCAGATTGGACTGCTGGGCACTCTGTGTTTTATTGTTTTCTTATTCATCTTTTACATATGCGCTATATTAGTTCAAAAATCTGAGGAGAGCGCAGTTGCTGGAGATCTTTCTGGGGAGGTAGGCAAATTATGCGGAGTGTACACTTTTCTGCTTGAACTGCGCAAATTATCATAGAGACACGCATGCATTTGTACGTAGGTGAGCCAGTTTCTTAAATGATTTCTTTAAAAATTCTGGATTGAAAGCTACTTTTATCTCAAGCAAAATAACAAAATTACATATTTAGAAAATTTAGATAATGATTGCAGATTGCAATTGAAATTGTAGAACAGCTTCGAACCATTCAGTTGCTAACGCGGGAAATACACTTTTCAACCTGCTATGCTGAAAGCATCTCAAAAGCCGCGGCGGCTTACAAAAAGGGGATTAAAGCGGAAGCCGTTCTGTACTCTTTAGCCACTTCGTCCGGATTCTTCACAGATATGTCATCCTATGGTCTTGGTATTTATCTTATTTATCATGGCCTTACTACAGCAACGGAGGTTTACACGTACGACCTCAAATATTTGTTCTATGTTTTTTTTTCTAAAATAAAAAAAATTGGAAAATTAAATTGCTATTCACTATTAGTATAGCATTTGACGACCATTATAGAACAATTTAAGAAATTAATTACAGTTTCTAAATAAATAAATTTTTCAACTGCAAAAAAGGCATGGAAGTATATGTAAAATTATTTTTTAGTCTAGTTTTAGAGCAGCTATTGCTATACAAACAGGCGGATTTTCTTTAATATTAGTAGCTGGCAGTCTGAACTCCTTTGTTCAAGGTGGAAGTGCAGCACGATCAATTTTTAAAATTATTAATGCAGAAGACACTATCCCGAGAATAGACGGTGAGTCAGAACCGGTAAGTCTTGTTCGTTTTTCAAGCTTTATTTGCTTTTCAGTTGGTACTTTTTTCTGAGCATAAAATAAACAACGTGGAAAATTTGTCAGAATTAAATTACTAAAGTGGCAACAAAAATGAGGTTTTTATAACGTTACACAGTTAATGGTTATTGATAAACGTTTTCAATAAGTTTCCACTTTACAAAATTATTATGAAGTCGTTTGAAAAACTTTCCATTTTTTTGAAAACTTATGCTGATATAAACTCGCAATAACTCAGCTGTCAAATGTAGCTTTGAGGGCAAACTGTTAATGATCAACTTAATTTACAATTTGGGAATTTAGTACGCTATTTTTTCACCGAATTCTTGTATCCTTGACGGCACATTAGTACGTTGTCGTAGACTATTATTTTTGAAACACTTTTTTGGCATTATTTTTGTCAAAGCAGGAGTACTCTTTTGGTCGAATTTGATAATGAAAAAAAAACTTTGTTCTGACAATTTTGCAGCTACTGCTAAACCGAATAGATTAATTGAGTAAAAGATCTGCAAGAGAGCAAAATAGAGCCGATATGTCAATGAGTTCAGCAAAATTTGCATTATAATACAAATTATTACTTGCTTTATTTGTATGTTGACTTTTTTAACTCTTCCGATTTTTCATTCAGGCATGTTATGTACAATAGTTTCTGTAATTAAATTGGTTCGTCTATAGCATACTTTTTCATTTTTTATCCACTCTCCCTAAACTGCGCCATTGTCAACCCTAATTCTGTAGAATAGCTAATCAAGTGAGCTTAGGAAGTATGGTGTTAGCGAAAATATCAAGCAGTAGTATAGGCGAATTTATCTTTAACTGGTGTGAAAATTTTTGGAAGTGAAAATGCCTTCTTCTGGAGAAACTTTAGCGATTTAGCTCAGTACCACTGTATTATGCGGAGACACCAGAAGCTTACCCGACCGACCTCCTTTAAGGTGTGCTAAACTTCTGTGTTAAATGTTTAAATGACGTGTTAACAACATTAATAACATGCTATTTATTAGTGTTTCACCTTCATGTTCTTCGAGTTTTTCGCTTTTTGGCTCTTTTTCCGCTGAGAGTTTGACAGAAATGTAGCAGGGTTTTCATTATTAACACAGACCTTTCAACCCATTTACTGTTATAACCTTACCCATTTCCAAAATATATCTGTTGTTTTTTCCTTTTAACAGTCTAGTTAAGAAGTTTTTGTTAAAAAATGAGTGGAAAAATAAAGTATCCCGAGAGCTAAATGAGAAAAACAAAGTTTTAAATGAGAAATTTAAAAAATGTAATTCTTCTACGAATGCGAAAACATTAAAGAATGAGCAGAAGAATAAATAATTACAAAAAAACAGTAAACAGGTTAATGAAATAGGAGAATCAGCGTTTATTATTTTTGGTATTTTTGGGTAGAAAAGTAACTCGCTTTTTCACTGGAATTCAGGCGAAAACTCACGAACACAGGAGAGTTTAATCCTAGCTTTTCTCTGCTTATGTCAGAGGTGATACGGTAACTTCTTATGCTGGCTGCTGAGAAAAACGTTTTTCTAAGTCTGAATTACGGCGTATTCAACTGACTTATTCTAAGAGTTTTGAAACTGTTTTGGCGTCGTTCCGCTTGTCACATTTGTCACTACATTACAATTTCTGAATTTCACTAAAATCTAACACCTTTGATGAGTTCTTTGCTGGAATGTAAATTAAGAAATAATTTCTTCTTTTTTTCATTTTCACCTCCTTTTGTATAGCATAAAAAATGCAAAAAAATTAGCAAGCAGCATTTGACCACAACTGTAGCAAACACAACAGTAGCAAACTCTTTACAAATACTTGATCTTAAATAAATATTAAGTAAAAAAAAATAATTAATTACAAAAAACCAACTTACCTGCATCTGCTAAAAGTAAGTCTTCAAAATAACTAGTTGCGCTTTCCACTCATTTTGTAAATTTATACGTTAAAAAAAATTCTTTGTCGACAACAAATTCAGTATACACAAAGATGTAATAATAGTAGCAATTGACTAAATCAGCCCTAATGCCACGTTTCAGTGTTAGTCTCAACCAGGGCTCCAAAAATTAACTTATAGGTAGTTATAATTCTGAGGAAATTAATGTTCTCGAAAAATTTGCAGTTTTTCAAAAATAAGCCAGCTAAACATCATTAAGTTTGAACGTACGCCAACAGTTTTATAACTAGCTAGCCAACCGCATCACTGTGATTTCGGTTCCGCCACAAAAACACTTTCACACCAAGTTAGAAGTAAATTCCTTCATAGTACACCAAGTTGAGAATAGAACAAGTTGTCATACAATAATCCTCGTTTAGCTTAGGCAAAATACCTCTTTCTGGAACCAGCGATTGAGACTCACATGAAAAAAGAGAGCAGAAGAGTTTAAAAGTCTGGTTTTTGTCTTTAGTGGCATTTATGCACACTTGTTCGTTGAAATCATGGAAATTGACTACTGAGGACTCTTGAGGAAATATACGGAAGATCAGTAAAGCATTCAGCATTCATCTTTGAAGTTATGTTCGTCAGCAACTTAAGGCTGTTTCAAACTGTTAAGAGAGCTCATGCAGATTGACGGCCTTAGCGCGCTGACTAGTTAGCTGTTTTTTTGTGGGGAAGTTTAAAGAGGCAAGCATGGGGAGACAGTTGGAAAGAGGAAGGAAACAAAAGCTGTGGAGGAGTCCCCGTACTGAGTTATATTTTTGAACGCTTGCATGGTAAAAGGAGTGTGATGCAATAGCAGCGTGATAGAACGTAGTGCCACCAATTCGAGTTCCAAATTTAACAAGCTTGATTTTTTTGCGCTCAAATCTTCTTTCTGGTTCTATAGTCGGAAAAACAATTCATTACCTGCTTGTGTTTGCGCAGAATGTTTCAAGAGAAACCTTTTAGTGATTGCCATCCTGGTAAGATAGTAGAGATTGATGAAATGCTTTTTATCAGGAGAAAATAAAACTTGGAGTAAGTAGTAGAGAAAGAGTGGTGTTTTGGTGGCGATAAACGAAGGAGCGTTAAGTGTTGCATCGATTCTGAAGAACGACAAAATTTTGCAACTCTTTTGCCAGTAATAAACCAGTTTACTGTCCTTGGAACAAGTACAGAGTCTGACCAGTGGACCGCACACAGAACTATCAAGGATATACCAGAAGGATATCAGCACTAAGCTGTTAACCATGTTTGATTGATCCTGCGTCTCTTGCTTTCAGAAGGACTATTGAGTTTTTATGTCAGACGTTGACAGAGGGCTGCAAATCAAGCCATGGGACGGCGTGGACGCTTTTAGATCCACAGTTGCAGGAATTTTTGTGGAAAAAGATATACGGTAAAAACGCTATGTAGTACCTCTGGTAACGAATAACCGATCACTATCCACCACCTTTTGGTTTTCTATGCAAGTGTAAGCGCTCTTCATCGACCTCTGATCAGTCAATCACAAAGCAGCTCGGTTTTTGAGACTCTTCGTATAAACGGCATGCTTTCGTCAGCAGTTTGGAAAACAGAGAGCAAAACTGATGTTTGAAAAGTTTGTTCAACACCTATAACAAATATCTCTTCCCATGCAAGTACGAACTAACAATCTTCGCCTGAAGATTTGCATGGCACTCCATTGCACTTTAAAACACTTGTGTTTCTACAGAGCTACGCAAATTTCATTTCATCCGCATCATGACATCACTTCTGTTTCAACTTCTTACCTCAAACCGGGGTATAGAAACACTTTCCCTGTAGCAAACGCTGTGTGACTTACCTCAAACTTGAGTAATTAATTACTCTTTGTATTCATAATGTAGATATTCAACTATCTTCTATTACTGTGCCTTACTTCTCACCAACCTCTCTGCTTTTCTTCTGCTATAAAGGGTCAAACCGCCTACAACATCTCGCTACAATATAAGTCTCCAACTGCTGATAGCAGGTGTCGAGAGCCAGCGAGGGGTTTCATGGCCCACTGTTGAGGTTTGACACGATCCACATGTCTCTTAAGCTGCATCAAGTCACAGCTACAGCGGCATAGCTCTCACTGCAGTTCGCGGAGGAGGAATCTTTACAGGTCTATTCTTCAAATAAGTATGGGGCTACTAGTACGCAAGAGCTCATCATTGGCAGTGATTAAGATGAATAAGCTATTCAGGAATGAGATAAAGTGAGAATCTGTTGGTCAGTTTTTTAAAGGTGCTTAAATCGAATCTTTGTTACCAGCAAAAAGCGATCACTTTCTGACTGCGAATTTTTCTATTCTTAATTTACGGACTTTCATAACATTCAATTTTGACTTCCGTTACTTTTTTGATTTTTAAGAATAACGAATAACTTACCTCCTGGTCAGTCTAGTAAGGAAGGTTACTGCTGACTAAATGGAGTAATGGTTATTACCCAACCAGGTAAAGTGTAAGCAATACTGATGGAATGAATTTAAAAAGCAGCTAATAAAGCCGGAAGAACAGTTAAAGCTACTGTATGCCTTAAATTTTTCAGGAAATCCAGGGCAATCTTGAATTCAGAAACGTTAAATTTTCTTACCCAAACCGCCCGCAACAACAGGTTCTCGACGGACTTTCGTTTAAAGCAGAAAAGGCATTCTTTTTTTGATTTTTTTTAAATAACTTTATTAAAGAAAATTTAACCTTGTTGGGAGGTTTTTAGATACCTTCATCTTGAAAATTTATATGGAACAACTTAATCAATTTTACACTGGCAATGCACGCAAATAATGAATAGAAGCTAGCAGTGCTAAGCATGATTGTTTTAAACTAGAAATTAGCTTATCTACCAGGAAACTTTCATCGAGAGAAAACATGAAAAAGTATTTAGGGCGAAACAATAGCTTTGGTTGGGCCGTCCGGAAGTGGAAAAAGTACTGTAATCGCTTTGCTTGAACGTTTTTACGAAATTAACGGTGGAAGATTGGTAATCACGTTTTTCTTTTAAAATTTTGAGAGTTGCATTGATAATTCATAAAGATTTGAGAACTTTTTTGAAGTCTTTGTTGCAATTTTTTCGAAATCTACTTTTCCTTGGCGGTAAATACGCCAAGCTCCTTTGTATAGAAATAAAAATTTAAAAGGCCGTGACTGCTATTAGCAGAAGGTAGAAAAACCTTAGACAAATTTGGTATATCTTATGAAACACTTGGGCATTTAAGTACACCGCCAGCTAGGAACTGAGCATCGCGCAAAAAATTGGCACAAATGGAAAAAACTATCAATAGTTAATGTACGTAATATCAACAAGGTTAGTGCAGATTTTGCCAGGATTTTATCAGCTAAGGAAAAACTGTTTATAGAACCAATGTTACCAAATGCTGAATTATTTAAAAAATCTAGTTTTAGTTCGATATGCTTCCTACCAAAGAACTTCTAAATATATTGTGCTTCATAGAAGCAGAATAAGCATTGATACTTCTGCTTTTTATACTTCTGCTGATACTTTTAATCTTTATTGACTTTAAATGAGTTGAATGCACACTTTAAAAAAGTTTTATTCTCGTCAATAGGCACCTCATTATTGTAAAAATTATAAAATTAATTAATAAAGTCACGGTTGCTGTTAGACCTATTATAAAAAATAAAATAACGGTCACTTAATTTGAAAGAATGCTTTTTTGCCAAGTTTTGCAAAGCTCTTGAAATACCGATATATATACAGCCACACTCGCAGACCTCTAAGTCATTACAAAACGATTTCAGAACACTATCTTGACAACTTATCTTGTGAAACTCTTTTTTCTTCTAGCATACTAATGGATGGTAGGTAAAATCAAATACTAGAAATTTGAAGCCAAGAGGCTTTAAATCGCAATAACGAGACGAATTGGCAAAACTTTTGTCAAATAAGAAAAATATGAGTAATTTTCTCCTTGCTGTTCTAAATTCTTTCCTCTGTCAGATAATCACTGAAAACTGAGGGTATTTTCTGTTTTTAGTTAGGTTCTTAAACATGAATTCTTGCACAGCTTTACAGTAATAAGCAATAAAACCGAATAATTTATAAATTTTGAAAGAGATTATTTTCAGGAAGTCGAGAATCTTGAAATATTTAAAATCAATCTAAATTACTTACGCGAAAATATGTCTCTGGTTGGGCAGGAGCCAGTTTTGTTTAGCGGAACAATACTGGAAAACATACTCTTTGGAACCAAGGGTAAAACTATAGAAGACGTGCGAAACGTCTGTGCGATGGCAAATGCGGCAAAGTTCATTGAGTCATTTCCCAATGTAGTCAATTCACAAATGCACACTTAAACGAAGTATTTGATGTAGTCGGAACTAAAAATTCTTAAAAAATCTTTTTTGTAAGCGTATTTGCAGAGAAGATCATCTTCTTTTACAGGGATATGATACCGAAGTCGGTGAACGAGGTGCACAATTATCTGGGGGACAGAAACAGAGAATAGCGATTGCTCGAGCTTTAATTAAAAATCCTAAAATATTACTGTTAGACGAGGCGACCAGTGCACTTGATGCGGAAAGTGAACGAGTAAGCACTTCTACAAAGAATTTCTACTTTACCAAAAAAAAAGCTACTTATTCTGTTTCTTTCTAAATTACCAATCTGAAGCTGCGCCACTTAAAATTAAAAAAGCAAAATTGAAACTTCGTTTTGTACTCAACGTAATTTGACAGAAGCGGTAAAAAGTGGCTTGTTAAATGATGCTATTTTTAGTCTGTCCAAGAAGCATTAGACCGGGCGAGAGATGGAAGAACTTGCATTGTTATTGCACATAGACTGTCCTCTATACAGCACTCCGACTTAATACTTTACATAGAAAATGGTCGTATTGTTGAAGATGGAACTCACGAGGAATTAATGCAGTTAAACCACAAGTACGCAGAGTTGTCAAGAAAACAAAACCTCAGCACTTGAAGAGCTGAATAATTCGATACACTACTTTATTGCATGTTGCGATACTTTTACTCTTTATTGACTTGACGCGATTCGATTGCACACTTGAAAAAATTTTATTTGCGTCTTATTTTTATCACAACAATCAAAGACACAAATAAATTACATTCAGCTTTGAACCGCTCTCAATTTATTCGCTGGGTAATGTAGAATACAACACAACATGTGAAAAATTTAACTTATTTGAACAGAATCACATTCAGTCAACTTTTCGATATGCGGAAAAAGGGAAAGAACCCCTATTCCATCTCTTTCTATGCTTCTAAAATTTTTGTTGGTTAACCTTATCACAATTTAAGCTTTTTACAGTTCCACAAAAATACTGGTGAACTTAACCAGTGGTCAATACCCTGTGTTTAAGGGACCTTTGTGAGCGAATCAATGATTTCTTGACATGTAGCTTTCTTTTCATTGTATTTCAGCAGATTCTGTGAGAACAAAAATTTTTTAAATTTTCGTGAATTTTTTAATTCAAAACATTCTTTCTCGCTATATTAAGTACCGCTGAATATTCAAGCTTGCATCTTAAGCGTTCTTACTATTCTATTTCCTCAACTCTTCTTCTTGTTCTGAGGCTCATAGCAAACCGTCAAGCTTTTCCAAATCTTTGATCTAAACTTTTATAAAAAATTTTTCAGTTTTTTAACATTAAATAGGTAAAATCATTAGATCTGAGACCAGTGAAAGAGAGAAGCCAATCAAATTACAAATAGCTATGTTCTAACAACGTAAAACAACAAACAAACTTACTCCCTTGGATTAATTGATTGAATATTGCATTCTTATATCTTTCTGCAGACATAACAAGTTGAATTATAGAATTCCGATAATTCGATTATCACCGTCTGATAGTATGTTGACAAATGCCTTTATATCAGCGCTCGTTTAAGCGAATGTCAGCCCTCTATGACAATAACTTCTTTTTCAGCTCCTAATAGCAAAGCTGTAGTTTTTTGTTTCTTGAGTAAGTAATATCTTTGCTCCAATTCCTCCTGAATTCTTGTTTGTGCAAAAGCAAAATTATGAAGTCCAAACCGACTCAATTTTTTTTAGTACAGTCTCAAAAAACACATGATATGGTTTCAGTGCAAAATTTTTTTTTGGACAAGCATTTCATAAATCAAGTGAATGTCTCTTTTATTATTTTTTTCTGTGACATTTAGAAATATAAGCTGGTATTTTTTCTGTTTGCTTTTCATTAGTCTTCAAAAGACTAATCAATGTATGCTGTTGGTTTCTTTAGGAAGAACACATAATTTGTTTTACTTTATCACACAGACCGCACATCAGTCTATTCAACCTCTGTCTAGTCAAAATAGTAGTCTCTGTTATCACTGCTGTTCTTTCTCCTTCTTTAACTTCAATTAATTTATAAATATGTCCCACCTATAATTTATTTTTTTTCCGACTTAGCTCGAGCTTGGGGTAGTATTAAGCTTTCTTTGGGATTCAAAAATATACTTATTATTCTTTATTGTATGTCACCAAATTTGTAATTATTGTTTAACACAGTTATCCAGAGTCGGTCCTCTATCTTTGCATAGCAAATTTCACAATGCCATTACCATCCAGCTTCTACTATAGTTCTTTTTTCTTATTACATGGTTTGAACCACTTTATATACCTTCAAGTTTTTGTTACTCTGCTAGCTGACTTGTACTCATTGAAATCCGAAACCAGCTAAAAACGTGTGTTCCGCAAGTATTCTGATATTTTATTTAATTTCAGGAATTGAGTTTAATGCCAGGAATGTTTTGCCGCGGCTTACAATATATTTTATTCTTATACTTCTTTGCTGATCAGTCTCAGTCGTAGAAATGGTAGCTTTCATTCTGCTTCTTTCAAGTGTTACATTAGCTATAAACGCCTCTATTCATTAAACCCTCTCTCATCTCTTCTTTCAAGTGTAGCGTGTCTTCTGAGAACTCGTCTTCTGAATTTGCTTTGCGACACAAAACTATAATTCTGCTTTCCTACTTCTGGCCTAAACTATGCTAGGTTTCGCTCTTGTAAATTCAGGTTCTGGTAGAGCATTTACAAGTGCAATTACCAATTAATTTTACGCACATAAAGTTACGCATATAATAAATTTTCCATATATCTTATAAACATATTGGAGCTCTTGCACTTTGACCGTCCCATGAGGAGGGGCCTCCTTTGAGACCTTTCCCCATCGCAAGCCAAAGGGGTGTCGCTGCCGTTACAACTTAGTGCAGCCGAGGAGACATGTCGATTGTGTCAACCTCAACTTCTAAACTGCGAAGTCTTCTTCTCGTGAAAAAAGTTGTGCTTTGCAGTTGCAGATTTATAAACAACAGTGAGACATTATAGGCGAGTTTGACATTTTGTATGAAAATGAAATTAGAGCGGTTGGTGAGTAGTATGGAACAGTACTGTAAGACGGTCGAGACGGTGACGTCACGTCAGTGGTGGAAAAAGTGTTTAATTAGCCAAGTTTGAGGTAAGCTGGGTGGCGTAGATAGCAGTGAGAAATTATGGACGGGTTTGATCTATTACAGCAACTTGAGGGTAGACATGCTGATTGAGTGCGGCTTAACTAGCGCTCCTCAATTTAAGGGCTTTTCAAAAATTCGTTGCTCGCTTGGTGATCGACCAGGAGCCGACAAAAGGTCCTCGCTTTCACACAGCGCCACGGGGAGGTAGACAGTGCTCTCTAATTTGTGACTAGAGGTGGTATAAGGCTTTGTCCGCATATGATGTTTTCCATACAAATTCGTGCATGTAGAACTCCAAAAGTGCCCTTTCCGCCCCATTTCTCGATTTGTGCCCCTTTTTGAACTTCTGCCATGGAGACTCAATGGTGTTTGTGTAAGCACCGGTCTCAGGATTAATAAAGTGGAGGCTGAGGTTAACAGTCTCATGCTGATACCCCTCCAGGATTTCTTTGACAGTGCTGTATGCGGCCCACTGGTATGGTTGTTTCTGGAACAACGTACTGCCTGATCAGTGGGAGAAGGGTAGCAACAGCTCTTCGTTCAACTCGGGTGACGCAACATTCATTGGTTCCTCACTCAGTACGCCCAAAACACCAATGTTTCTCTACTACCCTACCCCTGTTGTACTTTCTCCGAGTAAGAAGCGTTTCGTAGATCTCCGCAACTTTACCGGGACTCCCTATTCTTAAAGGATGCTTCCTGAAATGCTCGGTGCAGATATCTCTGAAATATTTCATATAATCTCATGAAGTGTGGAAGCTGAGTTTGCTTCCCGTTTCACGGACGATTTCAACTGCTATGTCTTTATATGTAAGCCTTTGGTGTTTTTCCCAATTTGAGGACGAGC